TCTCCTTGATCCCGCTGGACGGGCATCTTTTGCATATTGGTGACAACTTACAGTATTCCTGTACCTGAGTCTGCAAGAATTTGTGATCGTCACTGAAGTGAAAATCGTAGCCTAAAAGCTTGCGGTCCGTGGTGCAGTGAGAATGAGGTGATTATCAATCGTTCATTCCACGATTTGGGGGGTTTGAAATTGAGGTCAGTGACTCAAGATTAAAGAAAGTTACCACAGAGTGACTGCTCTTAGCCTGAGGGAGCCCAAGTTTATTCTTAGGCTAGCCTATGGAGTTTATTCTTGCTAGCGAGTGTGCCTCTGGTGAGAGAAGACTAGATTTAAAGGGAATCGACTTCATGTGACTCAGCCTTGTTACCCGTCCTGCTAACTCTGAGCTGTGGACCATTCCTGGACACAGACAGGCTGCTGACACCGGGCCCCTGATTTGCAAACATGAAGCGATAGTCTTTGATGCTCACATAGTTGCTAGTGAGCTTGCTCGTGCTCTCTCCAGCTTTGGCCTGTCATTTGATGCTGTAATTGACAGTTATGGTGTGGTCTAATTTTTATGATTACTCTGTAGGTAGCTGTACATTAGTAAATATAGGAATTTTGCCTCACTGTATAATAATAATAGAGCTCCTTCTATGTCTCTTGACAAAAATTAAAAAGCACTCTAACTATACCTTAGCCGAAAAATCCATGTTCTTTCTTTTGCACTTTACTGCTGGAAATTGAAGCACACTTCTGACATGTAGGCTCAGGACTGAAAAATGACTTTAGTGCTGCAGTAAGATTGTATTTGCCACTCTAAGTGAATATCTGTGGATGTCTTTACTTCAAGATAGTTTGGCTACATATTTTTGTTGCATGTTATTTAGCATACTATGTATTAAATGAAGAGACCATACGTTGGTAAGCACCAGTGAAACTTATGTTTGCTCTGCAGGCTTATGGAAATGAGTTTTCCTGAGTTCCTTGTGTTGTTCTTTATCTCCGATGCACTCCCCTCTCCTATCTGGATTATAGCAATAACCAAAATTTAGGATCAGCGAGACAGAAATGGGGCAAAAAAAGTAAATGGACCACACATAATTGAAAATTAAAGTCACAAAAATAGATATCAGCAGGGGCATTTAATGGACTGAAACTGTCTGAGGCCACAGCCACTGCTCTGATCAGTTTTCATTGCATTTAATTTGCCATTTAATTCTCCCGCCCAACCATAGCCCAAGGTTGTGATGATTTATTCCAATGTGTGTGATCCCATTAAAATGTTATGCAGTATATTTTTGCCATGTTCTTGTTTTACAGCATCTTAAACTTGATTGCCTGTAATACGTTAGAAGGAGATGCTGAAGTGGAGCTGTTGCTGGCTCCTCCTTAGCAAGTGCAACTTTTGCAGGATGCGTACGGTTAGGTGCCTGTCCCAACCACGACGGTAAGAACTGGTTGATACACGCGAGGGCGGCACAGTGGGCAGAGGTAAGCACTGCATCCTTGCAGCGCTGGAGCCTGGGGTACGTCTGTGTCAAGTTTGGATGTTCTCCCCACATTCGCTTCGGTGTCCTCTGGGTGGGTTTCATCACACAGATCAAACAGACAAACTGGTAGCTTAATTGGCTTCTGGTGTGAGTGTATGTGTATGTGATAGACTGGTGTCCTGTCCAGGGTTTTTCCAGTCTTGTGGCTGTTGCTTGTCAAACCCCGCGACCCCGCCCACCCCTCATGACCCTGTAAGTGGTTACAAAATAGATAATACAATATATATGCTGCTCAAGTACAGTATACTTTGAGTTGCTGTCTTGGAATTTGTGAAGAGTAATGTAAATGAAAGATCATTAAATTACTGGATTCCTTGTACCCAAAGTAGGCGGTAATTCTAACTAGTGGACTCTTTGAGTAAATTGTTAATCCTCATAAAATACACATACAGTATAAGGTAAATGATGTACTGTAACTTCTTATGAGAACATCTTCATACAAACCTGATCTTGTACAAATGTATAGTAATAGATACGAAAAATATAAATCAGTGGATAGCTTGTTTGGAAGTGAGAGCGAGGACAGTAGTGCTTAATTTTATAGGAAAACCAAGGCTTGTCACGTGCTTCGTTGTCAGATCTCTCCAAAAACACACGTGAATTCAGCAGCACTGATCAGTAAACAAACGACTCTACATCTCAATCTATCAACAAAGAATTTTCAGCATCTGCTATGACAGGACCCCCACCCACTCCATTTTCCACATGCATCTACCTGGCAAAAAGGCATAAACAGGGGAGGGGAGGTTATGTGAGGATACAGCTTCATCACAGTAATAAGGAGGAATTTCTGTAGGCAGGACAAGCGTTTTTGTACTCCTTATACTGAGTATTCTCTCTGCGAGAAAAGAGCAGGCCAGACTAATGCAGCCTCCAATCACGTCATCATGTCACTGTTAACTCAAGCCATGTGACTGCAACATCATGTCAACAGTGGCTTCATTATGTCACCCATTTCTCAGCTGGTCTATTGACTCAGCTGGAGACCCAGCCTCACAGATAAGCAGAGGGGTGTCTAAAGTTCAAGATTTCAGATTGCATGCTGTTAAGTGAACAAAAGATGTTTCCCCCTGACCAGGGCTTTTTAGATATTTAGTTTATACATTAGTAAACTAGTGTTTAGTTCAGTTGCTTTCTACGGTTCATCTACACATGCCGTGCTAGCAGTTTCTGATGTGCTTGTCTCTGGTGCTTTTGTGCTGTAGATTGTAACATACGGAACTCCTCTCCCAAATCCCAGCTCTATATGGACAGTTTTAAAGACATCATGTTCTTTCTGACAAGCTTCACAGGAGGTTTTATTTTCACTATATAAGCCATATAAGATGGTATTTTACTTATACAGTAAGAATTTTGTTTTTGTAATAAAGTCATCTGGAGAATTGACCTGGGAGGAGCTGGTTTTGGGAGAGCAAATCACTCATTATCTTTTGGGTCATGAGACCCGTTTGTCTCTCTGTAATGGGACTGACGTGGAAACTGAACAGGGTTTCTTATTAGGTGCAA